CAGACTCTCAATTTTGTTCCTGGTCGTTTCTTAGCCTTTGCCCAACCCTGGTGAACTTCTTACTGAGGATATAGTTGCAGGCAAGCCTTATTTCGACCAACAGGTATTTGTTGGGCACCTGCAAGTTCTGCATTGGGTGTTACGGGTTCAGGCCTGATAGGATGGACGCTGTTCTCAGTAAATTCGCCCCCTGTCGTTGGGCAGAAGAGGCAGGAGTGGTGGAAATGAGGCAGCTTTAGAAGGTGTATTCACTTCACATATTTTATAAGAACTTCTGTTTATCAGGTGCTGTAACATGCCCCATCCTGTGTGTTGCGTTGCAGTGTGTAGTGAACTGCCACCCAGCACTGTGGACAGTGTGAGCTGTGAGATCAGAGGAGGCGGGTCTCGTCTCAGTGATGGGGAAAGGCGTGAGCTGTGGTGAAAGCACACTCGGATTTGTGTGGTGCAGGTGCAGTGAAGACAAAGTTGTAGAATTTCTTACAGCACCGAACATATACTTACTGGGAATCCCAGTGGTCCTACTCTTGTTTACTTAGAAGAAATGAAGTGTGTGTCCACACAAAACTGGAAATAACTCACATCTCCACCAACATACTTTGTCCATAAAATGCAATACTCCTGGGTCATAAAGAGGAATATACTCATTATTGGTGAATCTCAAAAGCCTTTGTTAAGGGAAATTAATTAGCCAAGCACAAAGAATACCTACTGAGTGAGGACATTTAATGAAACTCTAGAAATGGCAAAAGGACAGCGACAGGAGGCAGTTGAGGCCAGAGTGGGCGCGTGGAATAGCCTGCAGTGAGCCAAGAGGGCACTTCCTGGGTGCTGGAAATGTTCTGTATCATGATGTGGTGGTTCATTTGTCAAAAATTATTGAATTGTATCTTTTAAATTGTGAATTACAACATGTGTAAATTATGTATTGATAAAGTCTCATTAAAATATACATTTAGTACACACAGAAATACAACACCCCCATTTTAATCAAGCTAAGTTTGAGGCGATTTAATCTAGTAAAGGCAAAATTAGTGTCAACATGCAACCTATTATTCTTTATCTCTGAATTCTTTAGACATACGGCTATTTTAGATCTTCCCATAAATTTAACATGTTAATTGAGTAATAAACACAAACTTTTGTGAGTGCCAGTTGACAAGATCCATCTATCCTTTTTTGTTGTATTAATTGAGGTCTATTTGATATACTAATCTTGGGTGTACAACAAAATCATTTGCTATATGTATATATTATGATGATCATAGTAAATCTAGTTAACATTTGCCACCATACATAGATACAGATTTTTTTTCTTGTGATGAGAACTTTTAAGATTTACTCAGTAACTTCAAAATATGCAATATAGTGTTACTAACTTTAGTCACCCTGTTATACATTATATCTCATGACTTATTTATTTTATAACCAGAAGTTTGTACCTTTGACCCCTTTCACTCATTTTCTACCTCCCACCCCTACCTCTGGCAACCACCAATCTGTTTTCTGTATCTATGAGCTTGGTTTTCTTTGTATCTGTATTTTTTATTCCACATATAGCTGAGATCATATGGTGTTTGTTTTTCTCTAACTTATTCATTTAAAATAATGCCCTTGTTTCATTTGCGTTGTTACAGTGAAAGGATTTCTTTTTTCCTTGTTTATGGGTGAATGATATCCAATTATGTATATATATCATATTTTCATTAATAATTTTTTAAAATTATTTTTTAAGTTTATTTTTCTATTACAGTTAACTCTATTAGTTTCAGGAGTCTAACAGAGTAGTTAGACATTTATATACCTTTCAAAGTGATATATCTAGTATCCACCAGGCACCATGCAGTTATGACAGTATTGACTGTACTCCCTACACTGTACTTTATATCCTAGTGACCATTTTTATAACTGGCAATTGGTACTTTTTAATCCCTTTTTCTTCCATTGCCCCAATCCCCCTCCCATCTGATGACTATCAAACTTTCTCTGTACCTATGAGTTTGTTTCTATTTTATTTCACTTTTTTAGATTCACATAAAAGTGAAATATGGTATTTGTCTTTCTCTGACTTATTTCACTTAGCCTAATACCCTCTAGGCCAGCCGTGGGCAAACTGCGGGCCAGATCCGCCCGTTTGAAATGAATAAAACTATTGGAAAAAAAGACTGTACCCTTTCATGTAATGATGTTTACTTTGAATTTATATTAGTTCACACAAACACTCCATCCATGCTTTTGTTCCGGCCCTTCGGTCCAGTTTAAGAACCCATTGTGGCCCTCGAGTCAAAAAGTTTGCCCACCCCTGCTCTAGGCCCACCCATGCTGTCACAAATGGCACATTTCAGTTTTTTACTAGATGCCCGGTGCACAAAATTTGTGCATGGTGGAGGGTGTCCCTCAGCATGGCCGCCCCCTCTCACAATCCAGGACCCCTTGGGTAGGGTCCCTAGGCCTGGCCGGCGATCAGGGCCTATCGGGGCTTTCCTTCCCCTGGCTGCCTGCAGCTTGCCCCAACCCCACTGCTGCCACTGTGGTGCTGCTCCCCCCTCCCCTGCCACCGGTTGCCTCCCTCTGTGGGAGACAGGTGTGGGGTGTGATTGCGTGGCTGGCCCTGGCCTCCCTCTGAGGGGCGATCGCTGGCCGGCCCCGCACACCCACCATAGCATTGCTGGCCAGTGGCCTGGGCCTCCCTCTGCAGGGCAATTGATCATGGGGCTCCAGAATCGATGGCTCTGCAATTGATGGCTCCGCAGAGAGCGGCCCTGCCCACTTGCTGCAGCATTGCCAGCTGGGTAGCCAAAAAGAGGGAGGCCCTGCCCACCCACTGCAGCACTGCTGGCCAGGTAGCCTGGGCCTCCCTCTTTGGGGTGATCATTGGGCGATGGGGGAGCCCCCCCACCAATTGCATCACACCCGCTTTGGCTGGCCTGGCACCAGTGCATGGCATAGCATGGTTGTCCGGAAGGTCGTCTGGATGGTCGTTCTGCTGTTCGGTCGTTCGGTTGATTTGCATATTATACTTTTATTATAGATCAGGGTCCTCAAACTTTTTAAACAGGGGGCCAGTTCACTGTCCCTCAGACCGTTGGAGGGCCAGACTATAGTTTAAAAAAAAAAATACCTATGAACAAATTCCTATGCACACTGCACATATCTTATTTTGAAGTAAAAAACAAAACGGGAACAAATATTTGTATTTGCATGTGGCCCACGGCCGTAGTTTGAGGACCCCTGTTATAGATGGCCAAGCGATATTCTGTTGTATATATTTCTCACATTTTTAACCATTTTTCCATGGATAGACACTTAGATTGCTTTCATACCTTGGCTGTTATAAAGAATGCTGCAATGAAAATAAGGATGTATATTTCTTTTAGAATTAGTGTTTTTATTTTCTTCAAATGAATACCCAGAAGTGAATTGCTGGCTCATACAATAGTTCTGTTTTTAATTTTTGAGGAACCTCTATACTATTTTCTATTGCGGCTCTACCAATTTACAATCGCACCAATGGGGCACGAGATATCCTCACCAGCACTGATTATTTTCTAGGTTTTCTTAAATAGTAGTTATCCTAATGGGTAAAATATGGCATCTCACTGTGGTTTTTATTTGCAATTCCCTGATGATTAGTGATATTGAGCATCTTTTCATGTCTGTTGGCCATCTCATCTGTTCATGCTCTTTAGAAAAATGTCTATTCAAGTCCTCTGCCCATCTCTTGATAGTGAATTTTATGAATTCTTTATATTTTGGATGTAAAACTCTTAACAGATATATGATTTACAAATATTTTCTCCCATTCCATATGTTGCTTTTTCATTTAGTTGATGATTTCTTTTGCTGCGCAAAACATTTTTAGTTTGATTGAGTTCCCAACCATTTCCCATTGTACTGTTGGTGGGTTTTTGTTTGTTTTTGCTGTAAATAAGATTATATTGGTTTTTGATATGCACCATTATAATTTGACATCTATGTACTCTATGTATTTGTGCTCATCACCAAATGTCTAGTTTCCATTCATTACAGTGTATTTGACCCCTTACCCACTTCGTCTTCTCACACTCCTTTCCTTGGTAACCACTGTTGTGTTGTCTGTGTCTATGAGTGTTTCTTTGTTTTTTGTGTGTGTTAGTTTGTTGCTTTCTTGTTTTATATTCCACATATGAGTGAAATCATATGGTTTTTGTTTTTCTCTGACTTATTTCTCTTAGCATAATGCTCTCCAATACATCCATGCTGTCACAATGGCAATTAAATCGGTGAAGCCACAATGGAAAACAGTATGGAGGTTCCTTAAAAGATTAAGAATAGATCTGTCATGTGATCCAGCAGTCGTTTTCTGGGTATTTACCCAAAGAAAGTGAAAACACTAATTTGTAAAGACATATGCACCCCTATATTGAAAGCATTATTTACAATAGCCAAGATATAGAAACAAACATCTTCCATTTTTACTTAAGGCCATTTGTACAGAAGGTAATGCATGCCTAAGCAACAGAACACACACTCCCTGAGTGATCAGATTCCTGGCCTGGCTGTGGAGGTGTGTGCTTTAAGGAAATAGTTACTCTAGTGCACACCTGTGTGTGAACGAATAGGGGCCCGTATTACAAAAGTGTGCTTTATTTTACAGATCACTGCAGCGTTCATTAAGTAGGACACAGTGCTAGTGCATTTAGTGGTTATTTCATCTCAGTTAGTCTTACATGTGTAGTTCAGCATGAGGAAGCAGAGTCCAGTCTAAAGATAAGCACCTAGGGAAAATGGGAATGGGAAATTATCTGATTTAAAACTCTAAGTAACCTTCCAGTTTAGGGGTCTATAATGTAACATATTAAGTACCGGGAAGGGCCATAGTCCCTGCCATTGGGAGGGAGTTCACCTGGGGGCGGACAAGACGATGCCAACGGTTTCTGTGCATTCAGAAAGGAGCAGTGGGTGTTTCAGAGGACTGTTTCCAGGACTGACAGGCAAAGAGGCAAAAGACCTCCAGGCCAAATGCACAGAAATAGAGAATGTCTGAGGGTCAAGAGGTTGGGTGACTTGGTTGATTGGGGTGGGGTGACAAAGTAGGTGAGGAGGGCCTTGGATATCCAAGAAGTTTGAGTGTAAGGTGCATGGAGCTACATCCCCCTGGTGCTGTGGGATGAGCTGGGGACGGGCCTGCGAGGGGAAGTGGGTCAGCCTGTGCTTGGACCTGGGGCCCAACCCCAGTAGAGCCTGTAACAAGCTGTCCAGAAACCCACCTCTGTCTCAGGGGCCAGTTTTGTGGTCACTGGCTCTCTGGGAACTTCAGGGAGGTGGACCTGGAGGTCAGGGCAGCTCAGCGACAACAGGGGATCGGTTATCTTGTGACATAATACAGTGTGTGTTTGACAGATTGTGCGGGCTGGTCACACGTGCACTACTCCGCTCTGTCCCTGGTCACGCACGGAGCCCTTTGGTTCCTCCCGACAGTCAGCGGTCTGTGCAGACTCTGGGGAAGGGGAGCCTCTCCCTCCAATCAGACCAGTGGCAGGCAGGCCCAGAGCATGTTTTAAGCATGTTTATAGTTGGGAAAGTATATGCGATGGGACAATAGTTTGAAAGCTCTAAAAATGAGTTCAGTCCCTCTATCTAGCATAAAACCTGGGAGTCAGGGACCTGTCTGAGCAGTCCCACCCCCACCAGCACAACGGTTCCTTTAGAGCAGCGATTTTCAACCCATGCGCTGCAAGAATTTTTAGCACACACATGCAATACCTGGCTGTTTAGTCAGGGGCACTGACCTCTTTTCCCTTAGGTTGTCAAATAAAAGAGTCACAACCAACACAAAAATAGCTGTCTGGTGCGAATGAATTTAAATTATACCTATTTTTTTTTATCAGATGAGCAAAAGTTTTTGCATGCTGCAGAGTTTTAGTCATGAGTTTATGTGTGCCGTGAGATGGACAAGGTTATAAATCGCTGCTCTAGGTCATTGAGAGTGAGGATTAGGGAAGAGCCACCTGCAGTGCTTGTGCTCCTGTGTCTGCTTCACTTTGGCCTGGCAGTGCTCACACCCCAGCACTCGGCAAGGGTGGGTGCGAGTTAGCGACAGAAGAGATGAATTACAAAAGATCTTTCGGTTATTATCTTCCTAAATGTTCATACATTTCCCCCCTTTCTTCCCTCCTAGGTTTAGAATTACAGACTCAGCAAAGCAAAGCTCAGGATGCCTCGTGTCTGCCGGCGCTGAAGGTGTCAGACATTGAGCCCAGAATCCCGTTCACTGAGCTGGCGGTGGCCCTGGCAGGTCAGTGAGCTCTGGCTGGCACGGTGCTCGGGCCGTGTGAACCATGGGAGCATCCCTATGACTCTGTAGTCCTGCTCTTGATGCTTCCCTGGGTGCTGTTACCGCTCAGTGATGACAGACTTCTCTACCCAGGAGGAGCCTGTCCTTGCCGCCCAGTGAGGGTGGTGGGCTCTGTTCCCAGCCTCTGGAGTCAGGAGAGTGTGAGTGATGCTGTGCTGCATTGGATGCAGGTCTTAAAGGGCTCAGGCAGACTTTGAGTCCCCGCCATCACGCTCTCCAGCTCAGCCGGCAGTCTAGGCCAGGGGACAGCCTAGTGTGGAGGGACGGGAAATGCCGCACAGCGCCTTGTGTCAAGGTGTGGGGAGCCAACAGGAGTTGCAGGCCCCTGGCATCTCGAGTTTCATCCTGGAGTTCCCTCCCTGGTCTGTCAGCAGCTTCTGGTTGGAAGCACAGAGGCCTCTCTGGCACAGCGTTCCCTGTCGGAGTAGATATTCAGCTTCACATGGCAAGACGTGACTTCATTGCTCTGTCCTGAGGGAATTCTGACGACAGCCTTGCACTTTGACTTGTCTCTACCAGTGTAGGAGTGTAGAGCATTTGAGTATCACGTTGACTTCTGTGAAGCGTCTGTCACTGGCCCTCTGTTTGTAATGGGGCCTGTCCTGTTTACCACGTCTGAGTTTTTGTGTGCATGTGTGTGCACATGCAAAGGAGATCCTGTCTTCCGGAAAGCGGTTAACATCCCACTGATCTAATCCCCCACAGTTTGTGTTTATCACTGAAAGTCATGAAGTGATTGTTATCAGAATTGGTGGGGACAGGTCAGTCACCAGTGAGTACCTTAGTTCCTCTGCTGGTTTAGGGCACTGTACTAGGGATGTGGAAAGAGAACACAGAACGTCCCCCTGGGGAACTTGGGACCGGGGGTGCCGGGGGCTTCATGGTGGGGCCATCAGGTCCTGGGGAGGGACTTGTTAGGATGAGAGGCATCTGGGCTGGGTGAAGAGTGGGGTCTGTGTTGCAGGAATGACAATCCACTCTGAGTAAGGAGGTGAGGCGCACAGAGGCCAGCAGGGTCCAGCTTGAATGCCAGGGCATTTGTTGACCCAAAGCACACTGCTTCTCTCTACTGATTCTTCAAAAAGCAAGGAGCATTTTAGTATTAAAGACAGTTTAAATTTTACCATATAAAAGTACAATAGGGAAATTTGTCTAAATTATAGCAAATGAGTAGTATTTCTTTGCTGATATAAATTTTAAACCTCCACCCTTGAAAAGCACTACCGTTTTAAAAATATTAATGACTGTATGATTACAAGTGTAATGGTAAAACTTTGGAAGTTAAACACCTCTTTCTCCAGCTGGAGACGTCCCTGTGCAATACTGCGCCCAGCCTACCAATGGCGTGGTCTACTTCCGGGCCTTCTGCAGCCTCAACACCCTGCCCGAGGAGCTCCGGCCCTACGTGCCGCTCTTCTGCAGCGTCCTCACTAAGTAAGACACATTTGCACACTCAGCACGCATTTGTGTATTTCATTGGTGGATATTCTCTATGTTCGTTTTGTTTTAATGCATTCATAATCTACTTTTTAGTGAATCATTTGTTTTTCATAATCCATAGCATTGTTATAGTGTATAAAGGGTACAATATTTGTTGAGATTTTTCATATGAAAATCATATTTCCTTACTAAAATATAGCATACTAAATATTTATAAGCCTTGGGTATAAGTGAAATTTTCAAAATATCTACCTCAGCAACTAAGCTCTTTAAGATTGTGAAAAGAATAATGGTTTTGCATCAGAAAATGTAAGTAATTAAGTCTGACATGTGGGCCTGGGGTGTCCTTGAGCCGCCATGCCATATGCCTTTGCGCTGGTTTTATGGTCCTGTTATCCTCGGTGAGCAGATGCCTGAGCAGATTTGAGAGCACAGGCAGGCACAGCACTGCTGCATGTCTGTCCTGTGTCCCTGTTCCTCTGCTGGCTCTTGGAGGTTGAGGCGGGCAAGCTGAGCGGGAGGTGATGGGAGCTGTCAGCTGGGTTCCCTTCCTATAATTCAGGTACAGAGAGGCTTCGAAGGGAAATCACTGCAGTAAATGGCTAGGCCCTGTGTCCTGTATGCACAGGAGCTAAATGCACTGCAGAGTAGCTGCACAGTTCCCTGCCCTTTTAAAAAATATGGTTCCATCTCTTTGTCCTTTTATGTCTGCGGTCATTTTAGAAAAACCTCACAGTGTCTCTTGGCTTACATTACTTCTCTCAGTAGGAACAGCAGTTAGAATGTTTCTACCAACAGCAACATCAGTGTAGTGATGGCTTCAGCTTTTCTTAAAAATGCAAAAAGGCTTAGTTTTTAAATTTGACCCCCAACACTACCAAATATTTGAACAGATAGTCTGGGATGTTTTGGAAGAACAGAGTAGGGAAGACACAGTGAACATTTGAAAGCCTAACACTGGGAGCACAACTCAGCATTTTCCGTTAGTGCTGGACAGCGGGTGTCTGGTGGACAACAGTGCTGAGTGACCCCTGAACGGGAGACCCGGTTTCTCCTGGGGAGAGGGCCCGTGACGACTCAGCCTGCATGTACATTTGAGGTGTAAGAAGTTTGTACAGGTGTGGTTCTCGGATTGAGCCGAGCGTGTAATTCAAGGTGATGGGGCCGAGATCACATTGGTGATTAGGGAACTCCCTGCTGTTCACAGGCTGGGCTGTGGAGTCCTCGACTACAGGGAGCAGGCTCAGCAGATAGAGCTGAAGACGGGTGGGATGACCGTGTCTCCCCACGTGCTCCCCGACGACTCCCACCTGGACACCTACGAGCAGGTACCATTTGTTTCTCCATCACAGGGTGTTCAAAGGTTGGTTTCTCTGGTGTCTATTTTTTTCTTTTAAATAATTTCTTTTCTTTCCTGGTTTAGGGTGTATTTTTTTCATCTTTCTGCCTTGAGAGAAACCTACCAGACATGATGCACCTGTGGAGTGAAATATTTAACAGGTAACTTGATTTGCAGATATATTAATGCTGTGGCTGTATCACAGGGCTGGTCTGAAGTGTGCTAAAGGGAGGTTTTACTCTCTGGTGCTTGATTTCAGAGCCTAATTCCACTTGTAATTCCTATGGACTTGTAAAATTTCTCAGGATGTGTACATTGTCTGAAAACTTACACATTCTCCATGCTATTGAATGGGAACTGAGGGGGCTCCAGAAACTTAGGATACTCTTCCTGTCCATAGCCCATGCTTTGAGGAAGAAGAACACTTCAAAGTGTTGGTTAAGATGACTGCTCAAGAGCTGTCCAATGGAGTTCCAGACTCGGGCCACCTCTATGCATCCATCAGAGCCAGCAGGACCCTGACGCCCGCGGGGGACCTGCAGGAGACCTTCAATGGGATGGACCAGGTGATATGCAGAGGGGACCATTGGGTATTCCGGGTTAGCCAGGTCTTGCAGAGTTAATAAAATTACCGGGTACTAAATTACTTATATCTCAGAAAAGCTAACTCTCTGACCAAATTTCATGAGGAGCTACCCTCCTCTCTCTCCCCCCCATTCCCACCCCTCCCCAAGGCCGGCAGGTGCATCTGGCACAGTCACAGCATCATGGTTCCCCTATCGGGGCATCTGTCTGGTTTCCAGACTAGGGAGGAGTGTCTGGTCCCTGCTCTGCCCCAGTAGCTCCCTGCTCTGCTCGGGGTGTCTGCTCTATGTGCTGGTTCCTTTGGCTTAGGTGAGGTTGATGAAGAGAATCGCAGAAATGACAGACATCAGCCCCATCCTGAGAAAGCTCCCGCGCATCAAGAAGCATTTATTAAACTGCAACAATATGAGGTAGGGGTTTGTGGTTTGTTCTGAGCAAAGATAGTAACGATGCATCCAGTTTCATTGAGTGTAGCATGGCGATGCGCTTCAAGTGAAGGTGTAGGTTATAGAATTGGTTCTAGACTTCAGTGTTCTAATTAAGAAATTTCATATGGGAAGAACTGTGAGGTGGATTTACTGCAAATATTTAGTCATATTGCTCCTAAAAGTAAACAGCACGTGTTCTGTAAATGAGCCGTCCGTGAGACCCAGTGCAGTTAGCTTGCTCAAGACCAGAGTAAAAATGCAAAGTTCTTGTGAGATGAATTATGACACAATAGTTTAGGAAAACACCTAGGAGCAGAGCCGTCCACATACAGTTGGCCTGAAGCCCACAGGTTTGTGAGCGTGAGCAGAATGTAAAAATGATTGACATGTTGTGTTATCAGTGACACGGATTTAGGTTAGATTGTAGCTCTACATGGAGAGTTCCAGGACCTTCCCCGTCAGTTTCTTGGACTCACCAAGAAAGCAGGTTTCCCTAGACCATCTGGGTGGCAGGAGGGGAGCCTTAGCTTGGTGAGGGGCCTTGCCCTGGGCAGAACTGACTGCCAGTTTCGGGCCAGCACGGACACTTGTACCCATAGTGCCTTAGGCAGCTAACCACTTGGACCTTCTGTTTCCTCCTCCATAAAACAATACTTTGAAGATTTATGACAAAAAAGAGAATGCATTGGAGTCAGTATAGTGCCTGGAATATAGTTAACTACTATAATGGTGTGTAATTTAACTGAAATAAATTTAGGATTCAGGGCCAAAAGAAGAAAAATACACTGTCAATTTACTGTATAGTTCCAATAACTCATAGTATTATCTGTGATTCTCTAGAATTTGGAAGGGTTACATAAAAATACATTTTTGAGAGAAGAGGTGGCAACTTACAATTTCCTACTTTAATGTCCAGTTTACACCTGCAAACTGTTGACTTCCCTTCTAGACAGGAATTGCAGTTTCCAGTCTATGACAGTGAAGTGTGAAGGTGTTGGCAGCTTCAGGGAAACAATATTTAGAGTCAGAAACGCTGTCTTTCATCTTGACAACTGTATTAGCTGTAAGCCATTGAAAGATAAGACAGGCTTTCTGATTACTTGAAAGCATTGTGGTAAAGTATCAAACTGTGATATTTCCATATTTGGCTACTGTTTCTTTTTAATATTTTTGAGCATTATTTTATACAAAAACAATATACTATCTCCTTTTTATTGTTATTTATACTAGATGTAGTAAGGGTTTCCGGTTCATACGTGATTTTTTAAACAGATGTGCAGTGAATGCGACCCCGCAGCAGCTGTCTCAGACGGAACGGGCAGTGGGAGACTTCCTCAGAAGCGTGGGGCGAAGCAAGAAGGAGCGGAAGCCGGTGCGCCCGCACGTGGTGGAGGTGAGAGCCCTCTCAGGGAAGGGCGCGTCCCAGACTGTCCTGTGTGCGGGGGCTGGCGTCCGCATTGCTGATGAGACCAGGTTGGGTGCGGCCCAGGGCTGACCCAGTTAGAAGTGAGTTCAAACCCTCTAATTTGGCCTTGGACCCTGTGCTCCTATTGTCCCTGGAGCGCTTGGGCACACTCTCCTGATGAGGCAGGACACTGTGGTCTGAGATGTGCTCTTGTAAGAACAGCCAAAAATGGTGCCCTGAGGAGGCCGGTCTGGCTGCAGCTAGAGGCTCTCCCCTGACTCAGCAATGCACGGTAGGCTGTCGGTCAGTGGTTCTCAACCTTCTGGCCCTTTAAATACAGTTCCTCATGTTGTGACCCAACCATAAAATTATTTTCGTTGCTACTTCATAACTGTAATGTTGCTACTGTTATGAATCGTAATGTAAATATCTGATATGCAGGATGGTCTTAGGCGACCTCTGTGAAAGGATAGTTCGATCACCAAAGGGTTCATGACCCACAGGTTGAGAACCGCTGCAGGTAAGCGCTAGGCATGTGATTAACTTCCAGAGTGGCTCTAAGCTCGCTCACCTGGGTCAGTAGAGAAGCCTCACTCCTCACGCACAAGGCTGACAATATGCACATTCTACAGAGGATGAACCTTCGCTTTCCCCTTGGTTATGTCCATGTGATCCTCATCCCCGAATGGACCTGCCCCCCTGCCTCTCAGAGTCCCAGCTGAAGGGGTGTGGTACCTCGGCTCCCAGACCATCTGAAAATCCCTAGAAATCTATGTAGTTAAAACGTTGTTTAAAACACCAAAGCAAATGTGCCCTAACACTTGTTAATAGCTCTATGAGTTTTCTGGAATGTATCATCTTAGCTATTTGAAGTGAGTTTAGGATTTTTCTCATTCCTCTTGGAAACATTTTCAGAAAGCTGTGCCTAACGGATGTGGAGGAAGCGCACACGTTAGTGGATGCCAAATCGTCAGAAAGCTGATCACAGTAAGTAAACACAGCCCTGTCATTTCAGAACCAACTGGCCCAGTTCGACTCTGGATAGGCTGGCGGACCATTCCAGGTTGCCAGTCAGTCCCTCACTGCTGGCACGCAGGACCAGGGGAGTCCTCTCATCCTGGTGGCCATGAAGACCTCTGTGCCTCCACATGGTCTCATCACTATGCCTCTATTTTAACTTGACTGCCGAGTCAGTGTTAATTCAACTAGGCAGTGTTGTCCTACCCACACACACAGCTTGGTGATCTGGGCATTGGGTTTGGCTCATCACAGAGAGGGCAACTGACTGTTCCTGGAGAGAAATGGAAAGGAAAGGAAAGCTTGCAGTCAGTGACCGACAGAAATGATGCAGAATAAGCTGTTTCATTGTGGTTGTGTGGCGTGTTGTGATCGTCAGTGCCTTGCTCTCAGATGAGACCGTGGTTGGTGATGCCCACAGGAAGTAGGACATTCAGAAGTCCAGGTGGCACCTGCGCGGGAAGCACCCGTGGGCCATTCCCCATGACGCAGCCTGACCGGGCCTTCCCTTCTCTCCGCAGGAGCCCACTTTCACGCCCTGCCAGATGAAGACACACTTTCTGCTTCCGTTCCCCGTGAACTACGTCGGTGAATGTGTCAGAACTGCCCCCTACACGCACCCTGACCATGCCAGGTACAAATGAGGCGGGCAAGGAAACCACGACTCCAAGGACGGGGGGTGGCCACAGAGAGGAGAGTCGGGAGGGAAACGTGGTGGGTCCGAGAGACTCAGAAACATGCGGCTGCCCCGGCTCCAGAAGTGCACAGAGAAAATGAGTCACATTGCTCAGCGTTTCTGTCCGTTTATTTCCGTATCTGTAGGAAACGGGCCTGCTCTGTATGCTAGGCCATCAGGGTGGGAATGTGCATTTCGATGACTAGAAAGATGTAGTAAGACAATGAAAACGTTACAAGAGGTATCTGTGGGTAATGGGATTATTGATCTCTTTTGCCTCTTTTTGTATTTTATAATTTTCCAACAGTGAATGTGTGTTCATTAGGTAACATAGAAGTAATAGAAGTTTCTAAAGAAAAACATGTGGAGGGTAAACCCGTGTGGGCAGAGTGGAGCCCGCCCATGAGGGCGGCACAGCCACCCTGCCCCGTCTTTAGGAACACGCTTCTCCCTCCAGCTTCTCACCAGGCTGTGTCCCCTGCTGGGCCGAGCGCTCACACAGAGCAGGGCCGCCTGGACTCATGCGGATGGCAGTCACGGTGTGGCCCTGCTCACTGTGCCCTGGGAAGGTGCTTTCCAGACCATCCTTTTCCTTCCAGGGCATCAGCTGTCAACATTCATAATGGAAGTTAGTGGGAACATAGAAAATGCACACGCCAACCAAGGGAAACCCTAGGGAAGATGCCTGTGGAAAGTTAGTCAAGAGCCTTCCATGTGCACATGCACACACTCACACTGATGTGGGGGTCCGAGTTGTGGCTGCAGCTTTAACATGCTCCCTGTTGGTGGGAAGAGGTTAAGAGGGAACTAGAAGTGTGTAGGAAGGTGTGTCCACTCCACCCGTCATTTAAGCCACTGCTTTATTTTTGTCTTCACCTAATTATACACTTGACATTTTTAAAAATTACTTCCTTGTCAGCCATGTTTTTAATTTGCATTCTTAATCATTTCAGTCTGAAGATCCTGGCACGTTTGATGACTGCAAAATTCTTGCACACAGAAATTCGAGAAAAAGGTGGTGCCTACGGTGGAGGCGCTAAACTCAGTCATAATGGAATATTCACCTTTTATTCATATAGGTGAGCTTTTCTCTGACCATCTCATACATGTGGACACAGTGTCATGTCACTGACAGTCACTGGCTCAAAATCATCAATATCATACCTCAGACAGTGGGGTGAGCGTGAGAAACAATTGTTCCCACTTTCCCCACCTCTTCGGCACCTAACCACACCCAGCACTGTCCTTTCGGTTTTAGGGACAGCAGGAAGGAACAGGAAACTTTGTGCCTTAAGTGAATCCTGGCACTTTGGCGACAAGCATATTTCAGTAGAAGGTGACCTGAGCAGTGTTCTGGCTGATGGAATTGTAGAGGCTGGACTCCTGGCTCCACTGACTGCTTTTGCCCATTTAGCTTTCTCTGCCTGAAGACACGCATCCTAATATTCTAGGGAAAGGACTCTTTGTGCCTCTGAGGCATTACTCTTTACCCCCGACTGCTGCAACTTCTGAACATTTCCTAGTGGCCGGGCTGGGAGCTGCAGCACAGAAACCACCACCTAAGGCCCCTGTCTCCCGGCCCCTGTAGTGTGTAGTATTGGGCAAAGGCCTCTGCAGCCCTTTCCACTGAGACGGTGCCGGGGCTCCAGGATTGGCCCAGATTGGGTGATTATTCAACTATTCTGAGTGCGTCCTTTGGAAAGGAGCGTTTTCGTTTAACCTTTCTTAGCGTTTCTCCATGAGTCTTTCAGTCTGATGTTTCCTCCCAAGGAAGTCGCAGTGGGTGCATTTAGTAACCTGGTGTGAGGCTGGGTGAACAGACCCCATCTTCAAGGGCAGGGAGAGGGTCAGATGACCTGTGGCCAGGTTTAAATTTCCAGAGTGTTGATTTTTGGACTAAGCATAAAGTTAATAGCTATAAAGTGTTGAAGCTGTGAAGTCAGCATGTGATTATTGCTTTTTTTTTTTTTTTTGTGGTAAATGTGAGTAACTAACTCTTCGGGTCTCCCAGGGATCCACGTTCCACAGAAACACTCCAGTCTTTTGCGAAGGCTGTGGACTGGGCCAAGTCTGGGAAGTTCTCACAGCAGGACATTGACGAGGCCAAGCTCTCCGTGTTCTCTGCTGTGGACGCTCCTGTGGCTCCTTCGGACAAAGGTACGTGGAGGAGAAAACACAAGCACCTGGATGGATGGTGCGACCAGACAACTCCAGGCTGAGTTCCTGAGATGTGTACCCATCTCACCTCCCGCCGCCGCCTCCTTTGTGACACGCCAGTGTCCACCTTGAGAATGAGCATCTCGGTTGGCTGCTTGAAAGGGGTCGCATTTCACCATCTCAGAGCGTCAGTGACTGCCAGTGCCCTGGGCAGGGGCAGAGACCATCCTGACTCGGCCCTCACTCATCTCCATCCTTTTCCCCAAAGGGGCCTGGGTCAGGGTCAGCCACCTGGGAGTAGGGTCTGTGGAACGGTCTGCTGCCGCATGCTGTCCCTGCCAGCTTTCCCAGTCACCTGTGTTCCTTCAGGGCTGGACCACTTCCTATACGGCCTCTCAGATGATCTGAAGCAAGCGCACAGGGAACAGCTCTTTGCCGTCCACCGCGAAGGTCTCATTGACGTGAGCAACAAGTGAGTACGGTCACGTGGCCTGAAGTGTGAACCTGTGGGTGGCTGATGTGGAAACAGTCCTGACCCCCGCCTTTTCAGGTACCTCGGTGTCGGGAGGAGCACCCACGGGCTGGCTCTGCTGGGACCAGAGAACACGAAGATCGCCAAGGACCCTTCCTGGATCATCAGATGACAAGGAGCTGCGGCTGTGCTCGGGACGTGGCTAATGTGGCTCACAGGCCCCAGAGAAGCAAGCCGAGCCAAGTTTAATTTGGAAGGTTTTTCCCAAATATCTTCCTCATTTATTAATCTTAAAATTTTGCCAAAGGTATGTATGTACTTGCCTGTCAGGTTATCCCCAAACTCTTCTATCTTAAAGAAGTGGGTGATCATGAAGAAATGGAAATAATCATGTATTAAATGCCAGAGATGCACAGCTGTTGTAAGACTTTCTGATAATGATAGAACATTTATTTAAATACTTAAAATAAAAGGCAACTCTGACCTACCTGTGCTTTCGTCATTTTAAATGACATTTTGCTAAGTAGTTCTTAGGACCTCTAATTAAAAAATGAGTGAAATGAATAAGTGAACAAAGGTATGCCAACATCGTTTATAAAACAGTGTGGTCACACCAAGGACCTGGGGGAAATTCTGGACAGACACACCCTCAGCAAGGCAGCTTGATGGGATCCCTTTCGAGAGCTGGTGTTAATAAGCATTAACTTGTTCCCATTTTGTCTTTACTGAAGGGCTCTGTCTCATCTGTTTCTCACTTTACTTTTTTCAGACAGAAAGTGAACTCATTTTATCCTCACGTCCTAAACTCGGCCACCGCAGAGCGCCTTCTGTGTTGCGCAGGTGCTGCGCTGCGCGTTCCACAGACGAGTTCAGTGGCTGCTGCGCCCAGCAGGGCTGTCCACGCCCTTTCCAGCAGGCTTGGATGATCCTTAGCATTTTTAAGCAATCAAATATTTTTTAGTTAAGGTTTGTACATTTAGTTAGACATACTGCTCTCGCATACCTAGTAGACTACAGTGTAGTGTAAACATAGCTTTTACGTGCACTGGGAAGCCCAGGATTTGTGTGACTCGCTTTATTGGGACACTGGCTCTTTTGCGTGGTCTTCCCGTATTTTTCATCATCTGCCTTCTCTGCTGTGCACGACTCCTTCCCTCACGGCTGATGGACGGGCTGGTTCCTCTCACCCCAGACGAGAGCAGAGGCTGGAGAAGAGGCAGAAATCTTTTCCCTCCAGACACTAGGTGACATGTCTTACCCTCCTCAGTGCACAGTGAGGACTGAGGTCGAGTGTGGAAGCTCACCTTCTTCCCGACGCACATGTTCATGGTGTTTTTAAAGGAGCCCGTGTGGCTGGAGTTGGTCACCTTCCCTGGGGTCCTGGTCTGGGCCTTCTCTGCACACCTGCCATGTCCTAGGTCTTTGTGTCACAGCATTGCCTTTCCTTTGTGACTGCTTCGTGCAGCCTACTTCACTGATCCCTATAAAAATACATGACTAGCCCCTGCCCAGGAAACTGCCTGCGAACCTTTGGTAGCTGCTCCCAGATCCTGAGGTTTAATGCCTACTGAAAAAAAATTGAAGGCACTTAGTACTGTGGTCTGAGTTTTAGCCAAATGTTTAATTCCACTGGGAATGCACATGGTAAAGCAGGAGACAGTGTGTGACACAGCAGACAACTCACTGGAAGCTTAGGATCCAATGGGGATGTGAAGGGTACAGGGCGGTGCTGTGTGATTGGGGATTAACGTCCACAGTACTCACATAAAGTGCTGATAAATAACATACGTGTTACAAAAATGGGCGGTAAACAGGAAGTCCGAGGAATTGCTGACGGGCAGTGGCGCCTAGATGGCTGCAGGCTCCTCGGGGCCGGTGTGAACGTGCTCCAACTGGCTCATGTCAGAGACCTCATAGCTGGCCTTGTACTTGGCCAGGATCTTCATGAGGGGCCGCAGCTTCAGCCACCACTGCTCTTTGGGAATTCTGTGCCTGCGGATGAGAGGGGCAGGGGTGAGAACAGGGACTGTGACAGTGGCGTCCCTCTGTCCTTGACTCTTGTCCCCATTCCTTCTACCTGCAGTAAGGTTTACTTACTCAAAGTCCGTCTTCTCCTTCAGCTCTGCCACAGGCTGGAAAAGAAGGTTTCTTTGGCATATTCCCAGCACACAGACGGAATCATCGTTCACAAACTTTCTTCCTATAAAGGACAGAAAGTGACCTGAGAATGGCTGCTTGGTTGTGTGGAAAGGTCAGGTGAAATGGCCAGTGAGGCCAGCAAAGTGGCCAGAGAAGGTTTGCTGACGGGAGGGAGCAGAATCCTGTGAGGAGATTGAAGAATCAGGACTTCTCACATCCTTCCTGGGCAGAAGCCAGCCTCCCAGGATCCCTGCGGCTGTGACGAGGTGGGCGGAGAACACCCTGTGAGTCCCCGTCAAGATTCGGGGGAAAGAGGCAGAGATGATGGGGCACCCTCGCTCCACATTAGCCCTGAGATGAGCTGTTCACTGTTCTTGGCAGTGAGACACCCCATGGGGAGTAAGGGGTGGATGGTGGATGCATAGCTCACCAAGTACTAGGCTGGGAAGATTGGCTTAAACTGTAGGAGTTCAGGTCCATGCTAGTAAGAAAGTACACTCATGACTGCATGTACTGTGAGCAGTTGGGAATTAGTGAGGTAAGCTTCCTTAGATGACAGTGAAAAGAAGAAAATAAATCCAGGTTTATTTTTATGGGATGAAATATAAAAGTAGAAGTTAATGTAAAAAACATTAGTAGAAAAAAAAATCAAAGCCAGTTCTTTGAAGACTGAATTTAGTTTGAAACTTTACATCGCTGTGTTTGCATAAGTCAAACACTGGAAATGCACTTAAACACACAGATCTGGGAACATTGGTCAAGAAAACGGAGGGGAGGGACATATAGGTACCAGCACAATAACTAATCCTGCAGTGATGGACCAGAAGGGCTACAAGCATCAAAAACAGAGGACATGATAAAAATCTTCATGGCAACGTTTTTGAAAATTTAGATGGACTTGAAAAGTTCCTAGAGAACGTAACTTACAAAAGGGATGCAAGGAACAGACATGAAAAAAGACCGACAAAAATGAGCAAACAAAAAAGAAACACAGATAGTTCTATAAACAGTAAAGAAATGGAGCAGGTCAGCCTCCCCTGCCCTACAGAGAAAGCGACAGAACCTTTGATGGAGGTGTCTGGAGTTTACTAACATCGAAAAATGAAAACATCTTACAAATTATTTCTGGGAGGAACCCCCAGACTGAGAAAGTTAGGACAAGCCTGACCTAGCACCTGACGGACAGGATGAGCAGGAAATGGCCGAAGCACAAACCCAGACCAGCTGGGGTTGGGGGTTGTTCCCCAGGAAGGCAATGTGGGCTTAACACATTGTGTGCGGGAAACGCATTTATACGTATTACGTTGACTGGTAGTAGAGCGTGGGACATGTATTAATACGTTTTTTATAGACTAGCGGTAGAATGCGGGTAACATATAAATACGTAAACTAAAGTTATCGTAATTTTACTGAACGTTGCCATTTGCGCAAAAAATTAGCAAAAATGGCCCGTGACACCTGTTAGCGC